CCCTGAGTGATCACAACCAAGACTCTGGTCATGCAAATAGACGGGAGAATGAATGGTGAGATCCATTTGGGTGCAAACTGCCCCCAGCCCCCCTGGTCTTGGGGAGAGATGACCCCTACCTGGCACTTGGCGTTCTCCACCTCGGCTGTCAGCCTCTGGATCATGCGGTTCAGCTCATTGATCTCCTCCTTAGTGCGGCGCAGGGTCTCCCCTTGCCGGATCACCGTGGCCTTGATCTCCTCACACTGAGGGGAAGCAAAGAGGCTCAGGAAGCTCAGGATGGGATGTCCTGCCCATTCAGGACACCTCAGATGATGTGCCAGGTGTACACTGCTCAGCTTGTACAGCCATACATGGCAGCCCTGTCCTGCCACTAGAACGTGAGAGCTGTCTGGCTTTTGTTACCACCTCTAGGGAACAGAATCCTCTGACAAAAGAAGCCTTTTCTATTATACACCTCAAATCCCTTCCATCACCATGTATAGGAGGCAGGGGTCCTGGGCCACTCACTTTGCTGCGGTACCAGGACTCAGCCTCAGCCCGGCTGCGTCTGACAATGTCATCGTACTGCTCCTTGATCTCAGCGACGATGCAGTCCAAGTTCAGGTCCCGGCTGTTGTCCATCTTGACGATGACCGAGGTGTCTGAGATGTTGGCTTGGAGAACGTGGATCTCCTGCAGATGGTGGGGTGGCAGATGCATGGATTTTGTTTACACCACTGCCTCACCAACCAAGTCTGCATCCAGCCTTCTACGCCCTTCCCTCGTCTCCAGCCACTGCCCCATCTGACAGCCTCATGGACTGCAGCTCCTTGCCCAAATCCCCTTCAACTCCAATCCCGGGCCAGCTGCTGGTTTTCTGCCTGGACCACAACCCCTCACCTCCTCATAGAGTCGCCGCAGGAAGTCAATCTCCTGGATCAAGGCCTCTGAGTTGGCCTCCAGGTCTGACTTGCGGAGGTAGGCGCAGTCCACATCCTGGAAAGGTGGGGAGTCTTTGAGCTCAGAGAAGCCTGGTGAACATCACCTGAAATCCTCTCTCGTCACCCATTACATGGAGGCAAGGAGGAAAGGATCCCCAGTGTTCCTATTCCCATCCCATTTCCATACCCTTTCCCCAGAGGAACCTCACAATCTTCTCCCCTTCTGTGAGCAAATGCTTTGTGCCTTGGAGATGGCCCACCAGCCTTTCACCCCTCCCACCTGAGACGTCTTACCCTCCCAGCTCTCCTTTTCACCCTCCCCTGGACCAGGAAGCCTGCCAGACTGCCTCACTCACTCGGCCACCTTGATCCTTCCCTGTCCCCCAGCAGTCCTCCAAAGCTCCACCTGGCCTCTCCTGGTTCTGCCCCATCCTCCCCCAGGCCCTGGGACTGTGCCCCTCCTCTGAGCAGACTTCTCGCAACGCTGGACAGGACACCGTCCCTCAGCTGAGAGACTGAAGTTGCCACGTCTCCATGGGACCCCAGCCACAGAGCAGAACCTCTGAAGCAGCACAGAACACCCAGAGGTCAACCCAGCCACCCTCCTGCTGCAGGGAAGGTGCTCGAGGAGACTCCAAAGTCCTTGTCCCTGTGAAAAGCCTGGATGTGCCTTGCATGACCTGGTGTCTGGGATATTCTCCTCCTGACCTGGCAAGGTCAGTGCAGCCACACTGAGGGGGAGACCACGGGTCTCCCCAACACGAGCCTGTCGTTCTGAGCCACCACGCGTCTGTGCTTCCCGATCCCGTGTTCCTCACCTTCTTCAGAGCCACGAACTCATTCTCGGCTGTTGCTCTCAGAGAAACTTCCTCCTCGTACCTGAGGCAGAAGAGGCAGAGAGGGAGGTCAGGGGAGGACAGCTCTCCCCACAACTCCCTCCACTTCATACCAGCGAAGGGGGCAATTTTAGGGGCCTCCCAACACAGCCCAAGCCCCGGCTGCCCTGCTGGGCCCTCCCTGGCTGCCTTTGGGGTGTGTCTGGGATTCTCTCTCTGCTTTGAATGAGGGGTCCAGGGGGCTACTCTTGTGGGACCTCACAGCCCTGCTCCCAAAGCTGCTCCGAGGTCACCTCTGGAGGAAAACGAGGACTCCGCACGAGCTCCACGCTAGGAGTGGACAGCAGCACCGGTGGGGCCGTGCAGCCCCAGCCTCCCCTCTCCTGGGGGCCCAACTTGCTCAGCTGTGGGGGACCCTATGTGTCCCAGAGGCTATCAGCGCTCAGCACCCGAGTGGGTTGGACCGGGAGTCCCAGGACCTGGCAGCCCTGAGTGACCCTGGGGCTCAAATCACATCCAGGTGCTCCAGGTGGGAGCCTGAGAGGCCAGGAGGAGAAGGTCTGGGAGACTGCAGAGGCCTCCTCCCCACAGAGCACAGGGCACAGCTGCCAGGTGATGGGGCTCAGAGAAGGCACGGCTGAAGCAAGAGAGACGTCTCCTGGGGAGTCACGGCCCTCCTCCTAGGCATCTGGGCAACAAGTGCCCCATGGGAGGGTCCTGCTGCACGTGGCCCCCTGGCCTGTGAGGTCACCTGACCTTCTGGGAAGTTATTCTCCAGTCCCATCCAATGGGCTTTAAGCCAAGTCCGTTTCCTGGGCCCAAGGTCACTCCCGGCCACACTCACTTCTTCCTGTAGCCCTCCAGCACCTCCTGCACGTGGTTGAGCTCCGAGGCCAGCCTCCCGCTGTCGGCCTCCACGCACTCGGCCTCCCGCCGCAGCGTCTGGATGTAGCCGTCGAACAGCGGCTCCAGGTTGCTCTGGCAGCACTCGCGGTTCTGGTAGAACTGCAGCTTGGTCTCCAGCAGCTTGTTCTGCTGCTCCAGGAAGCGCACCTGCCATTGGGGTGGGAGGAGGGGTCAGATGGCTCCTACTGCCCCCAAAGTCTTTCGGAGGGTTGGAGGGGTGCTGTTGTTTTAAGGTAAACTCCCAAACCAGGAGCTCAGCAGAGATTAGACAGAGGTGGGCAGTGGGAGGCAAGGCAGCTTTTGGGTTTTGGAGATTGTGATCTATGTTTGGATTTTTCAACTTAGGGGTGAGAGCAAGAGTCTGGGAAAGATCAGTCCATCCTTAGGTGAACTGAGTTATCTCAACCTGCTAAGTCCAGGTGGCATGTGGCCAGGAGACCGGTAGAGGCCTTTTTGTCACTGACTTCTCCATCAGTGCTCAGCCTGAGTTGAGCACAGGCGGGTTCAGGAAAGGTGTG